GATGGCACATAACAACAACAACATACATGGTCTGATGTCTTGACTACTGCTTCTATTGGCATCAATTGTAGAACCAAGCAATGTGAAGTCTTTGACAACTTCCATCTTTTCTCCATTCATCATGATGCTGCTTATAGGTCCAATTGTGAGGATTTTTGTTGTCCTTATATTGAGATGTAATCCATACTCTAGACTGTAGTCTTCAATCTTCATCAGTAAGTGCTTCAAGAGATCATCACTTTCAGCAAGCGAAGTTGTGTCATCACCATATCACAGGTTATTAATGATTCTTCCTCCAATCCTGATGCCACGTTCTTCTTCATATAGTCCAGCTTCTCAGATTATTTGCTCAGCATATAGATTGAATAAGCATGATGAAAGAATACAACCCTGACACACTCCCTTCTTGATTTTAAACCATACAGTGTCCCCTTGCTCTGTTCGAACAACAGCCTTGTCTATGTACAGGTTCCTCACGAGTACAATTAAGTGTTCTGGAATTCCCATTCTTCTCAATATTATCCACAATTTGTTATGATCCACACAATCAAATGCTATTGCATAGTCAATAAAACACACGTAAACATCTTTCTGGTATTCTTTGCTTTCAGCCAAGATCATCTGACATCAACAATGATATCCCTTGTCCCACATCCTCTTCTGAATCCAGCTTGCATTTCTGGAAGTTCTTGGTCAATACACTGCTGCAACCATTTCTTAATTATCTTCAGTAAGATTTTACTTGCATGTGATATTAATGATAATTAATATCATTTAATAATTTGATAATTTCCACATTCTGTGGGATCACCTTTCTCTGGAATGGGTACAAATATGGATCTCTTCCAGTCAGTTGGCCAGGTAGCTGTCTTCCAAATGTCTTGGCATAGCTGAGTGAGTGCCTCCAGGAGGGCATCCATTTGTTGAAAACAGCTTGACAGGTATCCCATCAATCCCCAAAGCCTTGTTCCTCACCACTTCCTTCTGTGCAGCTTCAACTTCTTCCTTCAATACCATTGGTTCCTGATCACATGCCACCTCCTGAAATGGATGAAGATCGACCAGGTCTTTCTAGTACAGGGACTCTGTGTATTCCTTCCATCTTCTTTTGATGCTTCCTGCATCATTCAATATTTTGCCCATAGAACCTTTCAATATTGCAAGACAACACTTAAATTTTTTCCTCAGTTCTTTCAGCTTGGGAAATGCCAAGCATGTTCTTCCCTTTTGGTTTTCTAACTCCAGGTCTTTGCACATTTCATTATAGTAATTGGCTTTCTCTGCTCGAGCTGCTCTTTGAAATCTTCTATTCAGCTCTTTGATCTTGTCATTTCTTCCTTTTGCTTTAGCTACTCTCCACTCAAGGGCAAGTTTCAGAATCTCTTTTGACATCCATTTTGGTCTTTTCCTCCTTTCTCATCTTTTTAATGACCTTTTGCTTTCTTCATGGATGATGTTCTTGATGTCATCCTATCTTTATACTGGCTTTCAGTCATTGGTGTTCAGTGCATCAAATCCATTCTTTAGATTGTCTCTAAATTCAGGAGGCATATATTCAAGATCATATTTTGGCTCTCGTGGACTTGTTTTAATTGTCTTTAACTTCAGGTTGAACTTGCATATGAGCAGTTGTTTGGTCTGTTCCACAATCAGCTCCTGGCCTGGTTTTGGCTGAAGATATTGAGCTTTTCCATAGCCTCTTGCCACAGATGTAGTCAATCTGATTCCTGTGTGTTCCATCTGGCGAAGTCCACATGTATAGCTGCCGTTTGTGGTGTTGAGAAAAGGTATTTGCAATGAGTAAGTCATTGGTCTTGCAAAATTCTATCATGTCATCTCCAGCGTTATTTTTGTCACCAAGGCCAAATTTTCCAACTATCAGTAATTCTTCTTCGTTTCCAACTTTTGCATTCCAGTCACCAGTGATAATTAACACATCTTCATTGCATGTTCAGTCAATTTCAGACTGCAGAAGTTGATAAAAATCTTCAATTTCCTCATCTTTGGCTTTGGTGGTTGGTGCGTAAATTTGAATAATAGTAATATTAACTGGTTTTCCTTGTAGATGTATGGATATTATCCTATCACTGATAGCATTGTACTTCAGGACAGATCTTGAAATATCCTTTGCGATGATGAATGCCACACCATTCCTCTTCAAACTGTCATTCCCAGCATACTAGATCATATGGGTTTTCTGATTCAAAATGGCCAAAACCAGTCCATTTCAGCTTGCTAATGCCTAGGATATCAATGTTTATGTGTTCCATTTCATTTTTGACAACTTCCAATTTTCCCACATTCATACTTTGCACATTTCACATTCTGATTATTAATGGATAGTTGCAGCTGTTTCTCCTTAATTTGAGTCTTGCAACATCAGCAAATGGAGGTCCCGAGAGCTTTACTTTATCCGTATCTATGGTTGGTTCTACTCTTAGAAGGCAGATCTTCCCCAGTTATAATTTGAGTGCCTTCGACCTAAGGGGCTCATCTTCCTACACTTTATTAGACACTGTTTCTGGGCTATTCATAAAGTTGTCTAGTGATGTATCAGATAGTGTTTCTCTGCTATTCATAAGGTTTTCTCCAGCCAATTCTTTGAGAAGTGGATGGCCTCGTTCTTCTTCCTAGTCTGTCTCAGTCCATAAGCTGCATTGAAACCTGTGCACCATGTGCAACCCTGATGGCATTTGAAACACCCGTGGCACAGTCTCAAGCCTCATAACAACACACAAGCCACCAGAGTAGGGCAAACCGACAAACAAGCCTGTCTTCCTTAGCTGTTCGAAAGCTCTCCACCCTCCCCTTACTTGGATCCCATGGCTCTTCCTTCCTGTCTGCCTCTTGGGGTAGGGCCTGTTTCCCTCCCTTTACCTGGATCTTGCAGTGCTGTCTCATCCCTGGCTCTTCCCTCACTTCCTGGCTCTTGGGGTGGGGCCTTGTCTCCCTACCTTTACCTGGATGTCACGGCTCTGTCTCATTCCTGGCTCTTCCCCAGCTTCCTGCCTCTTGGGTGGGGCCTTGTCTCTATTTACCAAATACAACCTCTAATTTAGTGCCATATATAATCATGTTTTTAATAAATGAAAATTATGCTTGAAGAAGACAGTGATTATATATATAGCTTCCATGCTTCAAAGCTCACAGAACTGTATAAATTCTATACTACATAGCTCCAGTTCTACCACTGAAACCAAGTCATAAGGTGGTGAAGTGCCTTACATGAGTTATCAAAAGAAAAAAAAAAAAAAGGCAAACTCACTGTCATCAAGTGGATTCTGACTCATAGCGCCTCCCATTGTGTTTCTGAGGTGGTAAATCTTGACAGGAGTAGACTGCCCCATCTGCCTTTTGCAGAGCAGCTGGTGGGTTTGAACCACCAACCTTCTTGTTAGCAGTCAAATGCCTTAGGCACTCCACGCCACCAGTACACCTTTTACGTGAGTTAGTGAAGCTATAAAAATCACCTGGATCTGTTTATCACAAATTCTGTCCCACCCTTCTATATTACAATAGGAAAAGTGTCATTTTGATTGGAGGAATTGCTAGTTTAAGAGAAACACAAAGAAAAGAATTTCATTTATTGGATACAGTACCTTTTCTTTAAAATTCTCCACAAATGGATTTAACCTCAGTTTTCAGATTAAAGATTGTGAGCTAGTATCTGAGACAGAATAAAAAGTGAAAAGAACAAGACAAGATGTGAAGAGCTTCACTTGACTTGATTTTTCAACTTGTTATCTCTCTGGCTCAGAAACAGGATCCCCAGATTCAACAGTCTGAATGGACATTGATTCTGGAAAGGGAAAATTCACTAACACTAATGCTTGCTTACTTTTTTTATGTCTACAAGTAAAGAAACATATGATACAATAGCTGAACAAAAACATTTTTAAAATTTCTGAAGTTCAAGAGACGTGACTAAATATCACCAACAAAAAAAGATCAGAACATGTAAGATTCTTTTCTTAATTAATCCTGTATTATTAAATATAAGGAATGAAATTTGAAACTAAATGTTTCAAACTATAATGACTAACTTACCACATGATTCAGGTAAAAATCTACAAATCTTATTTCCAAATAAATGGAGTTTCTTCAGGGATGTAAGGTATTTCAGCTCTTCTGGAACAACTTCTAGAAGATTGTTTCCCAGATTTAATGCTGTCAACTGCAAGCATATAGATATTTGATGGACTCACAAATATGAGAAAAAGAAAAATGAAGCCTCTTTGCTCAGATCTACATGGTTTAAGAAAACTTCAACATAACCTTAAACAATTATTTCACATGCACATAAAATTATCTTTAATAAAGTTAATGTCAGCTTCATGCTCAAATACTTTGTTAATTAAAGCACAATTTAATTTTCAATTAAAGCATTTAATGTCATTAATATTGTATTACAAACCTTTCCAGGGTTATTTAAGAGCACAATTAACGATCTGTTAATAACTCACTTGAGCAATCCAAGAGTCTCCCAACATTGTGACCTATAAAATCACAATCATTAGAAACTCATCAAAGGGGCTAATTTCCAGAAGTCAAAAACAGAACCAAGTATCTGAGGTCTCCATGTCATAGTACTCCAAAATGCATTAACTCATTTATCCAATAAAACTGCTCTATTCCATGGATACCATCAGGTATGAACTTTGATGGCACTCTCTCTGTGCTGCTGCTCAAAAAGGAGACGACTAAAGTGATATAATTAAGCAGGGAAGATCCGTCCTATAAATATCTGTTCTACTAATGCCTCATCAGATATAACAGCACATTAAGAGGAGTGAGAAAATTCCTCCTTGAGCCTCTAACTCTAATCCATAATGTTAATGATACAGAGTTGTTCCCTAAATCTTGATGTTTTTATTTTGAAATCTAATTGTACTTTCCAAGATTAAACAAAAGGGGGGTCTTTTATATCCCAACATAACTTATTCAGATTTCATTACCAATTCCATATTTCAAAAATTTAGTATTAAAGGTAAAAAGAAAAAGGAATAATGGGAGTTTTGACCAACTAATGAGTTCATAAAAGACAAGAAAAATAATTCAGGATTAAATTTAAGCTATTGAGGATTCATATTTAAATGCTTTGCTTGCCTCAATGGTATGTATTTGGTATGTATATACGTCAATGATTTAAACGAATATAAAGAAGTACACATAGGTGCATTTACAATGAAATTCCTTACCCTTAGCATCCATGCTAAAAGTTTTGCATTCATCCTTGCTCCTCCTGTGAGAATTACCATTATCTTGTATTTTAAAAAAGGACAATTATTACTACTATTTCAGTTGTCTTATTCTATTATAAAGACAAAGTATCTGAGATACTGTGACAAGATTGTTCCAGATGGTGTTTTACTAGCAAAGGCTTTCACAAGGAGTACAAGCAGAGTTTTGTTAGCAACACTCTCCACGTTGTTATTCTTAGTTTCATCTAGTCTGCTCCTACTCATAGAAACCTTCTATATAATGGTTGTGAATAATTCCTGAAGCAAGGCTTTAGGTACACAAGGGACAATTACTCGATAAGTTTAAAACTTTCATTCCTTCAATAATAATCAATAGAATGAGTTTCTGTTGGTCTTCACAGAAAGTAACTCTTTCTGGACCATAAAAACTGGAAGTTACCATAGATTCAAAGACACTAGGCACTTGACTGCTAACCAGAAGGCTGGCGGTTCAAACCCACTAGCCACTCCTTGGAAGGAAGGTTGGTTAATCTACTTCTGTAGTGATACCACCTTGGAAACCCAAGGACAGGTCGCTATGAGTCAGGTCTGACTCCAGGGCACATAACAACAACAACATTGCTAGTAACTGGTTTCTCATGGACTCAAGACCCAGAAAATTATAGCATCTTACAATTAGAACTTTTATAAGTCACCTAGTCTGATATATAAGATGCAAGTGGACAATTATACACATTCCTCATGAATACACCCAATAACAGAGAGCTATTGTATTTTGTTGGAAAGTTCCATACATAGCTTTCTGTAACTTCTACTCAATTCTTTCCACAGCAGTTATAAAGAACAGTTTTATTCCTTCTCCCTTCTCCCATATAACCACCTTCTAAATTTTTCAAGGCTGCTATCATATTCCTTTGGATTTTCTCCATTCTTCCTTTACCCATTTCCCTCAGGACATAATTTCCAGAGCCCTCAGTTCTTCTGATCACTCTCTAATTTTTAAGTACCTCTCTAAAAACATGGTCCCTAGGGTGAACATGCCATGTGATCTGTCTACCAGATATGCTGGTAGGATGACTGGATCTCCCTTGGGCAGATCACTACACTTCTACTAATGCAGCCTAATGTGGCATTCACTCTTTCAGTAGCAGGGTACATTTCTGGTGCATAATTAATTTTATCTGTGGCCAAACAAAACCCCTAAATTAACTGACAAGCAGATAACCCACATCCTGGGCTTGTGCAATTGAATTCTTTTCTTAACCTAAATGTAGGAATTTACATTTATCCCTGTAAAAATTGCATCTTGTTAGTTTTGGCTCATAAGACATCTCCAGTGGATGTGATATTCTCACTCTAAATTCTGAGTCTAAAACTGGACAATTTCACTGGGAAAAAGAACCATTTCTTTTTCACCATCTTCATTTTGGTAATATACTCACCATTCTCACAATCTAGGGTGGCCCAACTTTGAAGTCACATAGAACTTCTTTCTCACCTTCCACCTAAATTTACCAAGTCTAATTCCCAAAATTCCTTTTAGATGTGTTTTAAAATAAATAAATAAACCTCTACTCCTCTACTCCTATTGCAATCACCCTAATAATGTATTAATACTCATTATTGCCTGCCTTCATTACCATGGACTTTCAGAAGAATGAGCACATCAGTCTTTGAATACACCCAGAATGCTCCTTAAAATGAAAATGGTAAAGACTTTGGCTGGCTTACTTTGCACATGTCATCAGAAAAGGCCAATTGCTAGAAAAGGACATCACATTTGGTAAAGTAGAAGGTCAGCAAAAATGAGGGAAAACCTCAGTGAGAAGGAATAACACAATGGCCTCAAAAATGGTCTCCAACATACCAGTGACCCTGATGATCACACAGGACTAGGCAGGGCTTTGTTCAGTTGTAAGTAAGGTTGCCATGAACCACAGCGAACGCAAATAACCAGTCCACGAGCAATTTCCTACCCAATAAATCCTACCTGTTTCCAAACTTCCTATCATTTTACTGTATCTTTGTACACCTGCCCCAACAGCGCTCGTCTAACTCAACTCCTCTTCAATTTGATTACGCTGGCCCACCTACACTGCTCAGTTATAACCTATCTGCAGCCTGCCTTGAAAAACCTATTTGTGTTTGTTCTTACACTTTGAATATGAGGTAAGCATCTCAGTGTTCATTGATGCCTGTGGATTATAAAATCTAAATTCAATGAAGAGCAATCTTTGTCAACACAGGAAAAGAATAAGAAATCTGAGTGTTGTTGTTATTGTTGTTATGTGCCGTCGAGTCGGCCCCAACTCATAGCGACCCCTCCTTGGGTTTCCGAGGCAGTATCACTATGGCAGTAGGATTGCCCAACCTTCCTTCCGAGGAGTGGCCGGTGGGTTTGAACCACCAGCCTTCTGGTTAGTAGTCAAGTGCTTTAGCCACTATGCTACCAGAGCTCCTAGAAATCTGAGTAGAGAACATAATGTTTAATGTATTATTGACGATATTAGTGGCTAGCATTTAAATAGAATTTAATATGTGCCAAGCACTTTTTGTTAAACTGTCTTGTACACTGTCTCACACAGATATCACAATAAACTCAGTTATACAGAAAAACGATCTGTGATCCAGACTACGATTTATAGTGAATAATGTGGCTTTACTCTATGGGCTCGTTCTGGTTACCTAGTACCGCTATGACAAGAATATACTACAAAAGGGATGTCTTGAAGAAACAGGAGTTTATTCTCTTAGTTTGGAGGCTGTAAGGCTGAGTTCAAAGTGCCAGGCTCTAGGGGCTGGGTGAAAGCCCCTCATCCTTGGGCTTCAGCTCTGCCTCCTGCTCCTGGCCCACTGAAGCTGGAAGCTTTTCTTCACTCAGCTGCTAGCTGCTGAGGCTGACAAACCCAAGGTGGACAAGTAACAAGGCACAGTCCCAATATTACCAAACCACACAGCAGGCCATTAATTCAAGTCTATTAAAAGTCCCAAGGTTGGCAGAGCATGGCAGGCTGCTGAATAATGACAGGGCTACATGCAGGGTTCAAGCGTGAATAAGCTAGAGACCATTCCCAAAGCTGCTGTTTATATATAAGAAGCAGACCATGTCCCTAAAGCAGCTACTCAGCTGCTTGTGCTAGATCCCACCATGGAGCTGACTGCCAGTTCCATCGTGGGGAATAACTACCACCAGCTGCCCAGTCACTCAACCAGGCCCAGCCAAGCTGACATACAACTTTAACTATCACAGGCCTATACTCAACACCTACACTATGCCATCTACAACAATATACTTCCTATTTATTTTTTAAATTGACTATTGCTAACAGGGAGGTACTGTGTGGTTTAAAATCAGAAAAGGCATGTGGCAGGGTTGTATTCTTTCACCATACTTATTCAGCGTGTATGTTGAAAAAATAATGTGAGAAGCTGGGATATTTGAAGAAAAATGAGGCATCAGAATTGGAGGAAGACTCATTAATAACCTGCATTATACAGATGACTCACCTTGCTTGCTGAAAGTGAAGAGGACCTGAAGCACTTACTGATGAAGATCAAAAACTACACAGACTTAAGTATGGATTACACCTCAACATAAAGAGAGTGAAAATCCTGACAACATGATAGATAGTGAAGAAACTGAATCTGTGAAGGATTTCATTCTTCTTGGATTAACAATTAATGCCTGCAAAAAGGGCAGGGAGGCCACATCTTCTGACCTCCTCTAATCCCACAAGAGGAAGACAGAATCACCATCAATAGCCCAAGGCCTATTCCTGAGAGGCCAGACATGTTGCCCCCCTCCAGCCCTTTCTCCAACCATTCCTCCCAAAGCACCCACCACCTCTCTCCTAGGTTCAATAATTCACTGCAGTGACCACACAGAACTCACAGGTTACGGATTTATTAGGGAAGCACCAGGCTACAATTCAAGTTCAGGAAAAACACTCAGTCTCTTTCCAGCCCACCGTCT